GTCTGATTAATTCTGATTCTAACTTCACCTCCTCCTGATTTTTCCCCAGTCTTTTGGTTTAGACCTGGCAGATCTCACATGAAATACATTTGGTTTTCAGCCCGTCATAGATCACCTGAAAACAAATGCGAATGTGTTTATTCTTCAGGTTTTTAGCCAGGGAGCCTTCCATGCCCTTGCTCACACTGCCTGCCACACCAGTCCTGGCTGCTGAGCCAGGACCTGCAAGTTTGGCTTGCAAGCCACCCACCTTGTACTTCCCTACCCCTCTTCCCAAGGAGCAAGAAAAAACGTGTGGATGAGCCCAGTTACCTTGTTCACGGGGTGCAGCACATGGGGCCGTGGTGAACACCGAAGCCCCTGCAGTTGCCTCTGCACATTTCCCGCAGAGCCGTGGGGCTGCTGGGGACATGGGGCTGCCCAGCCGCTGCTCCTCCTCAGGCTGCTCTCACTGCGGACTTCCAAGTCCAGTATAGCCCACATGCCACTGGGATGTTTTTCCTGGTCAGGGGTGTTTTCCTCTGCCTGGATGGTGCTTCTCGGGTCGCGCTGGCCAGCTCAGGTGTGTGGGCTCCCTGCTGGCACCAGCCCTGGGCTCCACAGCAGGGCAGCGGTCTCGGGGTCTCATGCAGCGCGTCGTGAGGGTGCAGCAGGGCTGATTTTCCCTCCTCGCTTTGGAAGCTGTTATTTGCCTTTGTTTGCAATCTCAGCACCAAAAAGCAGAGGTAAAAGGAGTTATCTTGTAAAAGTAAATAGTAAACATTTTATTTTTCAGTGACCCCTCTTCAGGTATTTCCCTCTGCTGTAAAAGCTGTGTCTCAGTGGGACTCTCTGCTGCCGTTACATCCTCTAAGCTGCTTTCCAGAGAACTTTCCATAACTGCTGTCAGCTCCGGTGATGGATCTGCAGGGGAGGGCTCCTCAACCGGGCACCACTGAGCCTGGGATCCCATCCTCTGCCACCTCCTCCCACTGCCCCAGTGCTCCTCAGTGCTCTCCGCTACACCCCGTGACATGGCCATGTGGGTCAGCAGACGCAGGAAAGAGGAGCTGGTCCTGACGGGAGAGGGAAGGAATAATATGAACACAAAGAAATGGCATTATACGCTGCCAAAGATGATCTTGAGAAGTTTCCATGGGCTGCTACAAGCAGGTAACTGGGACGATGTCATCCAGGAGCGTGTGATCTACCTGCTGGCAGTGCTGTCTGCCTTTGTTAGCTTTTTGCTTTCACTCCTGGGATCCAGCAGTGCTTATCTGCACTGGAAAAATTAATTTGGGATAAGATAAAGAGCAGCTGCAAGCACGATAGTTCTTCCAGAATAACCATATAGGCTAAACCAAATAGGAGCAAGGCTGAGATTTGTCCCACCATTTTTCGGTACCAAGAGGCTGCATACTGGAGGGTCGCTGAGGTCGCTAGTGCACTGGGTCACCCTCCAGGAGTGCTTCTCCCTCCCCTTGACTAAAGAAGGGCATTTAATATCTTAAATGTGGTGCCAATAGTCATTTAATGATGTAGTTTGTGGACACCAGATCATGACTTGGAGCTGTTCAACCTGGAGAAAAGAAGGCTCCAGGGAGACCTTATAGCAGCCTTCCAGTAGGCAGGGGCCTACTGGAGAGGGACTTTTTACAAGGGCATGTAGTGATAGGACAAGGGGCAATGGCTTCAAACTGAAAGTGGATAGGTTCAGGTTGGATATAAGGAAGAAATTCTTTGCTGTGAGGGTGGTGAGGCACTGAAACGGGTTGCCCAGAGAAGTTGTGGCTGCTCCCTTCCTGGCAGTGTTCGAGGCCAGGTTGGATGGGGCTTTGAGCAACGTGGTCTCATGTAAGGTTTCTCTGCTGGTGACATGGGGGTTGGAATGAGATGATCTTTAAGGTCCTGTTCAACTCAAACCATTCTATGACTTGATGCAGTCTTGTCTGAAGAGACACTGAGAGCAGTTGACAGTGAATTGCTGCACACCTTCCGCCACGTAGCAATTGTACAGGGACTCTTGCTGTAGCTAAGAATAGCAATAATATCCATCTGAACCCAAACCTCATCCTAAGGCTTCATTAAAGGCCTCTGTAAGTCTTTGACTCTTATCCAAAAGGGAAATTCTTTTAAATTACTAAGTTGCAAGAGTTACAGTTGCAGCTGTAATGAGTGTTTGGCATCCATCACTGCTAACTTTGGTACAGATGTTTTCCAAAATATCTAAGATTCAGTCAGAAGGATATCTTGCTTTCCCCAATCAGACTTTCCTTTTTTTTTAACTGAATCCAATATTCTAGTTTGTTTGCCTGCCCCTTATTTTTGAACTTTTTGATTAGTATCCGCTTTAAAAAAGTACTTAAAAATCAACGTCACTTGTAAGCTGAGAGCTGCAAGGACTGAATGCTGCCTACCTATGGCCTACTTGTCAATTAGCACTCTGTTATTCACAGATGATGATACAGTAAATACAAGGGAAGCAGTATTATACCTCCTGTGAAAGGATTTTTCTGTTCAGGTGCTGTCATTTATATGGCATAGACTGGTGAGTTTGTACCCATAAAGTTCATATTCTTTTATTCAATTTATGGTCTCCACATGTGCCTGATTATGTGTCTGGAGGATTTTGGTTGAGCAGACTTCATGTGTTCTGCTATTGAATACACCTGGGGTTCTTTTGATAATTTTTTATGTTGCTGAGTTTTAAATTTTATGTAGCTGAGCTGCTCATAATCAGTGTCTTATTCTGCTCCTTACTACACAAATAAAGAGCGACATGCGGTGCCGGCCTTGGGGACTTGCAGGCTGGCATGGTGCAGAGGAACCTCCACACAGCAATTTTGATGGAGAGACCCCCAAATGCAAATGTGGGTGCAGTTAAATTTGGGATCAGGTGTAGCCTGGTGGTCTGGCTCCACTGACTCCTTAAGGATGGATAAAACCCTGTAGATATGCAGGCAACTCCTTTAATTAACTTCTCGGTGAACGAATGAGTTTCTTCTTGTTTCCCCTACAGGGAATATTTTCTTAGCGCTGCTTTCTGATCAGGACGAAGTTGTCGGGCGAGAGACAGCACAGTCACTGCGCAAGTATCTGTTCCCATGTGCCACCCACCATGTCAGGAGAGGTTAAATCCTAGGATCCAGCTGGATGAGCCTGGGTTGCCAAGATTTTAGGCTCTGGGGTTTGTTGCTCCAAGGAGGGTCAGATAGTGTTGATGAAATAACAAGGGATGGGAGTGTTCAATGTAAGTGAAGACCAATAGGAGTCAAGACTATATATTTTTCTAATTAGAGAAAGTTCTGTTTCCTTCCTTTGCAGATAGTCTTCCAGCAGACTGCATGTCTCTGGCTGCAGATGGGAAAGCAGCAGCAAAGCGCAAATGCCATGAGACTGATTTAATAACTTGTTAAACTACAGGGAGAGCAGAAAGAGGCAGAGCAGAGGAAAACTTGCCATCAGATTTCCCAACCAACCTCCCAGACTTGAAAAAGGCAAACGGACACCTGATCTTTCAGACATGTGGCACAGCTGAATTTCCAAGCCTTTTCACAGAATCACAGAATAGTAGGGGTTGGAAGGGACCTCTGGGGGTCATCTAGTCCAACCCTCCTGCCAAAGCAGGGTCACCTACAGCAGGCTGCACAGGACCTTGTCCAA